CTGAAACATGGGATGTTTTGCCAAAAATAAAGTATACTGAATTATCAAGATGTTATGATAGTTTTTGGTTCAATGTATATTCAAACTAATGAATCCTTAACTTTGAAATCAGTATGATCAACTGTATGCCTTTTACAAAGAAAGATTGGATTCAAAATACAACAAAATTTAAAAAAAAGAATTGCAAAAAAATATATTTACAATGTAGATGTAGGCAAAATCTTAATAGGTCAATATAACCCTCTAATTAAATTATTATTACTGTGTTTCGTTAGTGACAAATTTGGGGAGAGAACAAATATTCCGAAACTTTCTGAAAATACAATATGAGAATTAACTGCGCAATTACTATATGTGTACCTTGGATATTATACAAGTTTGGGAAAAGACAAATTTTTTTATCAAGACGTTTTTAACTCTGACTATGGGCCAATTCTGTAGAATGGCCCATATACGGTACTTCCTGGAAGCAGCCACAAACTAAGTCACACTCGCACTCATGTTAGGAGTGTATGTGAGGTAAAAGCCTTCAGGAGAGGGTCAAGTAAGGAGACGTATAATTCAATTTTGACTGAACATATCTTTCCAGGCGGCTTCCTCTCTGTCAACTCAGATTACAGAACATTTAAAAGCTGCTCTGTTCTCTTCAATTACTGTCATCCTCATCCATGGGATGCTTTATGACTGCCCCGTGACCCTGTGTGTAAGAATGGACAATAAAAGCATCTGAAAATTTGTATTTCAGTAAAAATATTCTGGTAACGGTCTGAAGATGAATTATTCTGATTATTATACTTTAAACTAGATGTTATATTCTGAATATAATGTGAGTGAGTGGTCAATGCTATAGTGTGTTCTAGACTCATATTAGCCCAAGTCACAGGAACCCTACCATCAAGAATCTGTGATATTAAGGTCTGTAGATATGGCTCTGTTGCCTCCTTTAACATAAGGATGCTTCAGCCCATTATATCACCCAGCAAGCAAAATTATTAGTCTGGTCATAATTCCTTAAAACCTAAACATAAAAAGACAGAAAATTTCAACAACAAAAAAAGTTAATAAATTAAATTTCAAATAAATTAATACTTTTATTCCACATGGATGCATTAAATTGATCATAAGTTAAAGTCAAGACATTTATAATGTTACAACAGATTTTTCTTTTTTTAATTCTCAAAGAAATGCTGTTGAACAAATGTTTTGAACTTTATATTCATCAAAGAATACTGAAAAAAATATCACCTTTTCCACCAAAAATATTAAGCAGCACAACTGTTTTCAACACTGATAATAATATGAAATATCAATTGAGCAGCAAGTCAGCATATTCAAATAATTTCTGAAGAACATGTGGCACTGAAGACTGGAGTAATGGCTGCTGAAAATCCAGGAGGAATAAATAAAATTTTAAGATATACTGAAATAGAAAACAAATATTTTAAACTGTAATAATATTTTACAATATTGATCAAATATTTGATAATTTATTTTTGGTGAGCATAAGATACTTATAATAATAATAATAATAATAATAATAATAATAATAATTATTATTATTATTATTATTATTATAATAACATCATACCGACCCCAAACTTTTAAACAGTAGTATATAATGCCATTTTTCAGCATGTACAAAACGTGCTAGAAATGTGGCACACACATACACACACAGAGACATTTCAAAAGTTCAATATGACACTGAATTCAAATGAGAAATTTGGTGGTTTAATTTCACAGATGGATGCAAGTTATGCTGAGAGATACTTTTCATTACATTACATTTCTAAATGTTTCTTCTTCGGCTCTGGCTTTACACAGCTTTCTTGTATCTTTCTTATACACCCACCCACAGATTGGATGATTGGAGCAGACCTCAACCTATTACGCCTGTCAGGCCCCATCTGGACATGCACACAACATGTTATTTCACCATCTGTTTGTTGCGCCATCCAAACGCTCACGTCTGTGTTGCTGTCTGGAGCTCACAAGATGCAGTGATACTTAATGACAGTGCAAAGACACAATTCTCACTTCAACTTTATAACGGCATGAACATAAACATGCACAAACATGCAAACACACTGTTTTGTTTTACAGTTAAAAGGAAACATACACTGTTGTGATGTCTTACAGAATGTGTTAAGTGTAAGTGTGAGAGGAGATGTGTGACTGTAACATCTGAGTCAGCATCTCTCTCTCTCTCTCTCTCTCACACACACACACACACACACACACACTACATCTACTTAAAAGAATGTCCTTCTTGGTTAATGAAATATTAACTTCATCTGTAACATATTACCACAGACAATAATATTAGACATGAAAGAATATAAGCACTTCAGTAAAAACATCTCTATAATATTTTAAAATATCTATAAAATCTTGCCCTATAGACATCCAGTGTAACTGTACAAATCTGAATATACATTTTTGCTTATTTTTAAAAAAAAAGAAAGGGGCAATATTATCTGTGGAAATGTCACATATCATGGACACTTGTAATGTGGTGTTTGGGTTTTGTCTTGTTCATGTTTCCATGTCTTTTATTTTGTAATTGTTTTATGCTGTTTGTGTCATACTTCCCTTGCCTTCATGTATCTCAGCCTTGTGTATGTGTCATGTTCTGATTGGTTGTTTTAGTCATGTGTCTTGTTTCCCATTGGTTTGTTCTTGTCATGTGACCCTCTTGTTTCCTATAAGTAGCCATCATGTTGCCATTGTCTGTCGTCGTGTATTGACATTTATCTCATTTAATGCCACGCAATACCCCTCAATGGACTTTTGAAAAATACATAGATAAAATACATACTTTGCTCTGCAGTTGAATGGATCTGTTTTCACTGTGGGTGTCATGGAGAGGGAACATGACACTTCCCCTACTGACAAAAATTAGCCTCTTGAACCTAGAACATTGCTTTAATTACAAACCCAATACAGATGCCATTATAGGCTCTTTACAAAATCAATTAAAATGCTTTCCTTATTATGCGTAGATGATCATTACAGCAAAGTAAGCAAACTTAATTTAGATGGTGGTTATCAGCTCTCTCAAAATCTGATAACATAACCATATTAATTTCAAGTAATGCGTAATTTCATTCAATGTTGGCATAATCTATTTTTGTGAGTGGAAAGCTGGGGCTACATCTCTTGAAATATAGCTAAGCAAGAGACAAGGGAAATCATTATTTGCTGTTACCATGAAATGCATGCTGATATCTGGTAAAATGAAATCTGTGAGTCTGATTTTTCATACAGCAAACATTTCATGGAAAGAACATGAAAGGAAACTCGCTGAGAATTAATCATGGTGGAGAATCCATGCCTCAGGCATGAGCGAGTGTACGTGAGAGAAAGAAAGTTATTAAGAGAGAGGGAGACAGCAAATAAGAGAGTGAGAGACAGTATGAGCGAAAAACCGCTAAGGATGATGGGATGTATTTTCCTGATTGATTCATATTGTGCTGCACACCACTGATTCACACTGCTGTAAAGGCACAGTTACCCAAAATAGTAGTAATTATTATTATAAACCTGTTATGTTACAAACCTGTATAATGTTATTTTTGCTCCGATAAAAGGGAGAAACTCTAAAGAATGACAGTTTGGGTTTGGAATGACATGAGGATAAGTAAATAAAGACAGAATTTAAATTTTTTTGGGTTATCCCTTCAACCCACATGCATTTAGACCACATGACACACACAAACTATAAATAATCAACATGATGTAGATATTTTCAACATCCCTCTCACTACACCAACTTCTCCTTATTCTTCTTGCTCTCTCCTGTCTTTCCAATCTCGCTTTGTGAAAAACGCTAAAACACAGTCACACATGCCATCAATTCTCTATTGGGCTGGGTAGATATTCAACAGTCATAAAAGCCAGCATTTAGTAAATCAAACAGGGCTGAAAAAGAGTTATCACTGCTCAAACATATATAAATATCTGGGTAAGATGTTAACCAGGGCTGTAGGCAAATATGACACTGAAAGTGACAAAAATGCACCAGATATGTAAAATGCTGATGCAAAATTGCTAATAATAATAATAATAGTAATAATGTTGAATAAAGTTGAAAATAATGTTGAAAATAATGTTTGCTTAGTTTGAGAAAACACAACTGTTATCCTGTTAGACAGCCCCACTTTATTTTCTGACACGGACTAGTATTGCCATTAAAATACACAAATAGCTTTCATTCACTCCGGAACACCGTCTTGCTTCATATTTCTACACACTCACTATATTAGCACCAATTTCAACATATACTTTATTTTTTACACCTTTATTCACCTTTCACTCTCAGTTTGTCTACATTATGGGGACCATATGTCCCCACAAGGACAGTAAAACCTGAAATCATCTTCATTGTGGGGACAAGCCAACAGTCACCTTGGGGCAAACAGCTTTATAAACATATTAAATAACAGATTAATGAAAATCTAAACATCTCTGAAGGTTAGGTTTTATTTGCATAGAGCTTTTCACATTACAGGTTGTTTCAAATCAGGGGAACTCCACAAGATATTCAAGTCTATGAGGAAAATGGTTTAAGGCAGTTTTTTAAGAACCTATTTTGTCTTAAGTACCCCCACAGTACCATCAATAATGCTCAAGCACCTATTCATAAACACAAATCCAGAAAATTGTGCCTAAAATCTCTTTAGTATTACATTTAAACCATTTAGCATTATGATTTTAAAAGCCACTTATAACTAATCAAACAATACAGTGTGTGTAAAACAGAATCACGTTACATATATTTTTTTGTTTTATTTTCATGTGCCACTTTTAACCTGCTTGAACGATATGTGTGTGACCATGTACGCCAGCAGGTGTGGTGTCTCCCTGTCCAAATGTAATTGCATAACACTGTGTATTTTGTAATATGTCCATTTACCAGGAAGTACAGACATGGCCCCTCTATCCTTAAGTATATGTATTTACGAAGATGTATGTGTTCATGTATGCTCGAGAACACTTACCTGCTCTTTTGGCAGGCGGCGCAGATGTAGCCCCTCTCGCTCTGACTGTAGGTGCGGCAAGATTTGCAGACGTTGTAGTGCAGCAGTGCTCGTTGAACTTGTGCTGCTTGGACAGAAGCAAAGAGCGACTGCCCTCCTCCTCCAGCTCCTGCTTCATTTCACTACAGAGAGAGATGGGGGGATTGGAGGGGAGGGGTTGGAGGAGAGCGAATGAGAGAAGGAATGGGAGGGGATAAAGCGAGAGTAGGGGCATGTGAACAAGGGGATGGAAAGAGGGAGAGAGGGAGAGAGAGAGAGAAGGAGAAAGGTGCATCTGAAGGGGAGGTTGAAGGCGCACAGTCATGCAGAATAATTGGAGATTCTATGAGGAATGAAAAATTAAAGTAAGAATAATTTTGCAGAAGTGTGGGGCATACAGATACAGTCTGTATCATTTCTCTTTCTCCATCTCTGTTTATACATACATACAAACAGACACAAATATGTGGATAAAGTCACAACAGGGCTGGACTGGGACTGAAAAAAAAAGAACACAGCAGATACGCACTATATGGCTGTGTTCTGAAACCTAGTGAGCTATATTAATGGTTGCTTTCAAAACACTGCTTCATGAAGCTTCAAAACATTTATAAATATTTTGTTTTAAATTGTTGGTTTGAGTCTTGTATCAAACTCACCAACTTATGTGATTTCAGCAAATGAGGCTTTGTTACTTCATACTTTGTTACATCAAATTGTTTCAAGCTTTGGGGTGCTTCTCAAACAGAAGGCTGTATACTAGTGAGGATGCATCCATCCTTCTGAGGCTTCAAGGCTAGAATCCTGCTCATGGACATGGCAGAAAAAATACTATTAAAATTATAATTTGAAGAATAATTTCTATATCTGTGGTGACAACCATCTGTGGTCTTCCAGTGGTTAATATTATGCACAGTTTACCATTATGTGATTCATTTACAGCTAAAAACAACAACAACAAAACATAAAGTCTAATGATTAATGACTAGATGGTGTTGATCTGGTGATCCCATGAACTAGTGTCTACAGTTTTATAATGAATTTTAATACTTTTGCATGTATAATACACAAAGGAGAATATTACTTAATTGCTTTTACCTATAGTTTGCCAAGCTTTGCCAATACAAAACAAGTAATACAGATTAATAAAACACAAATTATACAGCACATTCATATTTAATTATATTTAAGTATTTACAGATAACATTTCATAGATTATACTTTTATTAAAATATTTGCAATTAGTCACTTTTATTTCTATATATACACAGATTGTCAAAGCAGCTTCACAGTGATAAACAGAAAAATAACAGATTCAGTTTTGGAAACTCAACTATGGAGACAATTCAGATTCTGCTGTAAAGCAGCTCTAAAAAGATAATAGTGTCATTATTCCGGTCAAGTCAGTTCAGTGTTGGTTCAGTTCTGAATAATAACAGTGTGAAGTTAATCAATTTCATCAATTAAATGAAAAACGAGGTCAATTCATCTATAAGCAGTTCTACAAAAGGTAGCATTGTCATTCTTCATTCAGCTCGAGTCAGTTCAATGTTGATTCAATTCAATTTAATAACAGTGTCAATGTTGCAAGATGCAATTCAGCTGTAAAGCAGCTCTACAAATGGCTATAGTGGCATCGTCCAGCTTATTTCAGTTCAAGTTGTGTTCTCATCTGTTGGTGCCAGTGCGGTCATATTGATACATTTTTGAATGTTAGGTGTCTTTCAGACCCCAAATAACCAAGCCAAAAGGCAACAGTGGCAATAAACCAGGCTCAGCCGGGGGACCAGTTCTCTTTTGGCCTAAGCGAACAAACATCGTATGATATTGATCGAGGTACGTCACACCAGCATTAGGTGGTAAGGAGGTGTATTCTGTTCAGCAGGTTGAAACATAAAGGTAGAGCTGTCGGAAGTATAAGACTGACTTATCAGTAGCCTTAAGCATGATGAACGTCCTTTTTGACTGTTCCAGAGTTTGGGTGTTAAATAGGAAAAGGATCTATTGCCCACAGTCAATTTCAATTCAATTCAATTCAAGTTTTCACGATACAAATCGTTGCAAAGCAACTTTACAGCAAATTAAGTTTCTACAATATTTAGTGGTAGCTTATCAGTGGTGACTGTCAGTTAATGTACATATGGCAGAAATGTACGGAAAAGGCACGGACGTGCCGGACGATGGAGTCTCCAACGATCGCAGCCTCGCGTTCCGTCTCGCGGAGGGGAGCGAAATGGTTCCGGGTGGAGATCTCGAAGACCGGAGGCGGCGGAGGGGGAGAGGTCGTCGCCCGGGGC